TGTTTGTCCGATGTGAGGAAATCGGGAGGTAGTCGATGCTTGCTGTTACTGTTGCTGCGGGGTGCTGCTGCTGCTTTGCTGCTGTGGCTGTTACTGCTGCGGCGATGCTGCTGGTTGTTACCTGCCTCTGCTGTTCTTCTGCTTTGTTGCTGCTGCTGCTGCTACTGCTGCTGCTGCTGCTGCTGTTGCTGCTGATTCCCACTCCCCCTCCCCCCCGTGCACGTGAAATTTGTAAATAGCAGGGTATGATTGGACAGTCGCGTGTGTGTGGGAGAGAGGGAGAGACCTTTTCCCGATCGTTACCGCCATGTGGCGCCACCGTCGCATTGACCCGACCTCTCCATATACACTGCGTGTGTGATTGACCGTTTGTTTGAGGAGAAACGCGATGATGCGTGAGTTTCTCACCACGCGTGTACAGGTCCGGTCTACGACAAAAAAGTTGATGCTATGACTAATGTCAAGACTAATTTGTCTGATAACGAGGGTCCCTGGAGCGCGGACATGGCGGGATGTTTTTTTTTACGATCGCGGAGATCTACGGGGAATCGACGGCTCGTCGCCGATGCGTCTATGATTGCCTAGTCCCATGTGATTCAGATCGTGCCGTTTTAAATGACTTATAAGGCGTTTCCCTCGTTGTCCTCCGCCGACAGATTTCTACGAGGTATCCCGCGCTCCGTCGTTACGCGTCTTGTACGTAATGTGTGATGTGTTTGTAAGTAGCGGGCACCAGCGCGTGCGTGCGTGGCGTGGCGGGCGTTTTGTATGTGTGGTGTAAGTGCAGCCTCTCCAGGACGGGCGTCAGCTGCCGATGTATTCAAAAAAATATATAATTTGTGTTTTCTCGAGTCATTCACGTCTGCCTGCCGGCGTCTGCGAAACTGTTTGTGCTGTATGTATGAACTTCGTTTATTTTTTGTTATGAGCGGCGGGCCACGGTGGTGGCGTCGACGGCCTCACACTATTAGGACACACTATAGCGCTTACACTAAATAGACCACACTATAGCACACACTATACGTACACTATAGACACACTATACGTACACTATAGACACACTATACGTACACTATAAACACACTATACGTACACTATAGACACACTATACGTACACTATAGACACACTATACGTACACTATAAACACACTATACGTACACTATAGACACACTATACGTACACTATAGACACACTATACTTACACTATAGACACACTATACTTACACTAATATACTAATATAATACATAGAATCAGGAGTATATAAGGATATATAAAAACATAGGCACGTGCTCGCCACAGATACCCTATAATATACTTGTAGACGTCGCAGTGTGCGTATATGTGTGTTCTCTCTTGGACCCACGTGCACGCGCGCACACACACAGACACATATCTATGAGGGGGTTACAGGCGGTTGTCTTCCTCCCCCTCTCCTCCCACCTCCCTCCTCCTCTCCTCCCTTGTCCTCCTATTTTCCTCTCTCAACACCTCCAGGATCCTTTATATTTTGCATTTTCTTTTTTGAATTGTCACATAGTTTCTCTGACAGTTTGCGTGATAAATGTATTTATCCTGTACAATGTATTTTCTCACGTATTTATTTCTAGTGCTAATAACGGTGCTATGGATTTCTTTTTTATTTTTTCTCTAACTTAAGTACATAGCAAGAGCAGATAGACACACTGGATGTATATCTGCTCTTTGGCGTAATAGTATTACTCTCTCTTCTCTCTCTCCTCTCTCTCTCTCTCTCTCGCTCTCTCTCTCTCTCTCTCTCTCTCTCTCTCTCTCTCTCTCTTCTCTCGTGTCTCTCTTCTCTCTCCTCTCTCCTCTTTCTCTCCTTCTCTACTCTCTCTCTCTCTCTCTTTCTCTCATCTTCTCTCCTCTCTCTCTCTCTCTCTCTGTTCTCTCTCTCTCTCTCTCTCTCTCGCTCTCTCTCGCTCTCTCTCTCTCTCTTCTCTCTCTCTCTCTCTCTCTCTCTCTCTCTTCTCTCACACACTCTGCGCTCTCTCTCTCTCTCTCTCTCTCTTTCTCTCCTCTCTCTCTCTTCTCGATTTCTCTCTCTCTCATTTTCTCTCAATCCTCCCCGGGACCCCACTGGCCTCCTACTCCCACTCCTTTTCCCTCTCCCGCTCCCTGTCCTCCTTTTTCCGTCTCCCGCCCCATCCTCTCCCCCTCTCCGTCTCCCTGCTACGCCCCTCTATTCGATACTCACAGGTCACCGGGCCATACATTGAATTTATCTCTCCCTCTCTCGGTGACCGCCGTCTGATGTTATCGTCTGCGAAAGGAATGTTTGGCCGGTTCTTCTGTGTTTACCCATAGAGTGTATTAATATTCTAGAGGGCGGACACGCAATCGCTCGCACACTAAGCGCTGTGATCGCATGTGAGCATTGCGTCCGCATTACTGATAGGGAAAAACTCCCGAAAGTACCCGATGTAACCGTAAACACTTAGATGATAATGATTTGGATGATAATGTTGCATTTCATGAACAATAGCCCTCATAATGGAAAGATTTACTACCTATTATGTTATTTAGACTTGATTTCTCCTGATTACATTTCTAAATCTTTCCCATACAGGCTCATTGTTATTTTGTTGTTGCGTACTGGTAGCTAAGTACAAGTAATAGTACTACTACTAAATAGATATTACTATATCGCTGTTTGTTTAACAAATTTCGGAGGTAATTTGCCAACATTTTTATTGAAGTTTGTTTTTCAAAAAAGTATTAGCATGTCGAATATAAAAGAATTCAAATCACCTCTTTCATTATCAGCTGATGGAATAATTTAAAAATCTATGACGCAATTAAGCCGAAAAATAATGATTTGAAGTTATGGATGCTGCTACTTTTAGCAAGACTGTGGCCAGTTTAAAGTGACAACTCGTTACGTACTTTTGTAGAGCAGCGCAGCCCCCCCCCCCCCGGCATGCATGCCAAACTATCGATTCGCCACGGTGGAAGCAATAACACTAAACACAGAGCGCTAAATAACTTATTAGTCCTCCGCATCGCGTGCACTCATAGCGAAGCTAGGCCGACTCGGCCTGATCCTCAAACCGTGCAGTCCAGCTTCTCGAGCTCCGGCTTCCTACACCTATCCCCTTCTATACCCTTGCTTTCCACCTTCCGCCATCACCTTTGCCGAGCTACTTCGCGAACCTACGTTTACGGTACGACTCTTTGTATTCATTTTACGCTGTCACGCAGATGCGCGGTTACAACGTGTAGACATCTGTTTAGTATCGCTGAAGTGCTGTTGTTTAATACTGTGAAAGGCGTAGTACTGACGTATATTTCGTTGGTAATAGAATGCACGGTAGCTTTTATCAATTCTGTGTTCGGTGTTATCCATCGACGTGACCGGAGGTCCATGCTAATGCGGCGACACTACCTCTTCACATTGCATAGACCGCGAGAACCGTTGGGGAGGCGGACGCACCAGACCGTCCTCACACTTTCCCTTATTTTCCCCCAGCATGATTGTTGTAGCCCTGTAGCCAGTTGTTCCAAGAAGGGAGGTTTCGTGGGACCCCACAAAATTACCCAACCAATCTGCTCTAAGTCCACAAACGAGCACACACCGTTACAACTCACATTACACACACCAGATGCACAGCACACGCCACGCACGCACGCGCGCGCACACCACACACAAGTACCACCACACACTTGACACACACTACAGCACACACTCACACATACACCACACACAACCACCACACACACACACACAACACGCACACGCCACACGCACACGGCACGAGGCCACACGCACACACACACACACACAACACACCACCACACACTACACCAGCACACATCAAAAACACACAATCAAAGTTCCTGTACAAAACCAACATAAATGAATTACTAGTAAATAATTATTGTATACATTTCAATCTCTTTCATGAGATAATTAATTAATCC